ATCTGTGGAGCTGGAAGCTGAGAACTGGCGACTGCGTAGTACAACTTTAGTAAGCGGAGTAGCTGTGGAGCTGGAAGATGAGAAGTGGTGACTTGGTAATACAACTTTAGCAAGCAGAGTAGCTGGGGAGTGGGAAGATGAGAACTGATGAGTGGGTAGTAGCTGAGAACTCGCGACTTTGTAGTACAACTTTAGTACGCGGAGTAGCTGGGGAGCGGGAAGATGAGAGAGACTGTGTTTCAAGGCGGATACACACTTGTTGCCTTTAGCTCCTTATGTTTTTCTCTGCATGTCGTTTTATATGTTTAGATAGCTACTTCTACTCAAGTTTCTTTTTTGCAATGGTGATGAGAAGAACTCTGGTTCTCTGTTACACTTTGCTTTGCAATTTCAGCAAGCTTCGAGGCAATTATCTGTTAGGGAGCGCTGTCCTTTGTAATTGTCTCAACTTTCATAAGAGTCCGGCGGAGAACTCTGCTTCTGTCTTATAGTCTGCTTTGCGTGTTGGTCCAGATCTGATGCTCTTGTCTCTCAAGGCATGGACGTGCTTCTGAAGAAGTTCGGTACTGCGGTGGACGCAGCGCGTCAGCGGGGCGCGGGATCCCAGAGAGAAAAGCTCGGCTGTAGATCTATGATAGCGTGCGAGCTTCTTTTGGCACTAGTTTCTGGTTCTTGACCATTTCAACAACAACTAACCATTTCTCTGAGGGTTATAGCTTTTTGGCTCCAGTATTCATAACATCTAGGCTTCGGACAGATTGCGCTGGTATGAATCACCTGCAGCCATCCCTGCCACATTTGCCTGTGGAGCTTTGTGCGCAAGAGTGGATCGACAATATGAAGGATCTCATTCAGACGTACTTCTACCATGGGCCATGGAGGCATCTGGATCGTGTCATTTGGAACCATTCTTACAATTTGGGCGATCTCCGTGCGTGGCCCTTGGACGCGACCATCGTCTATGAGTCGAAGGATATGGTGTATGTCCTGGGCAGTCTGAAGTCGGCGGCGAACTTGGCCGAAGTGGCACATATCTGCGGCGTCCACGTGAACACGCTCGTGACGCTCTGTGCCAAGGAGTTGCAGGCCAAAGGGGCACCAGAGAGTTGGGATGCATATTTACGCCTGCACAGTGCCCAACAATGTGTCTACGCTCTGGACGATTTGACGGTCAAAGTCGCCCCAGATCCGACGCTGTACGCGGAGCAGGCCCAGAAGAACTGTCGGGTGTGGTCAGAGATCGCACGCACTTTGAATGCCAGGCGTGCCATGCTGGGGAAGAAACAAGTCGTGCTCTTCCATTGTTTCGGCGGCATACATCGCAGCCCCGCGGCACTGGCTGCGACGTTGATGGCCAGGGAAGGTCTTCAGGCGCAGGAAGCCATTGAACAGATTTTGTGGCGCCGACCTTCCTTGCGCCCATGGAAACATCGAGACTATATTCTATGGGCACTGAAGCATTGGGAGACTTCGCTGTCCAAGCATGCTCACGCGGCTTTGAGTCTCTGAGAGGCTCGGGACATGGACGCCGTTCTGCGAAAATGTATCACCACGACGGCATGGACGCTGTTCTGCAGAAGTGTCGTCGCGCGGACTAGACGGCCCAGGCAAAGAAAAATAGGCGCGGCGCCGCAGTGAGCTTCAGCCTCTAATCTCAGCAAACAGTTTAGCATAGGAGATATCTTATTGGTTTCTCCCCAAAGCTCTTGTTTTTCTGGCCAGGTACACTCTTCTACCAGGAGGCGAGGACGGGCGAGGACGGGCGAGGGCAGAAGACGAAGACAAATACCTCAGTACCCACACTCGCGCACTGTCGGTGGGACTTGGCGCTTTCATCGGCGCGGTGCCACACTGAGCTTCATGAAACAGCCTAGCGCAAGAGACATCTGAGAGGTTTCTCGCCAACCCTCTTGTTTTTCTCGCCAGGTGTGCTCTTCGACAAGAAGGCGAGGACGGGCGAGGGCCGAAGACGAATACCACAGTACACACGATTGTACGCTGTGTCAGTGCTACTTGGAAACTGGGTTCCGGTGCTTCGCAGCCAGTCACTTGTAAGCACACCTCGTCGTCATTCCTCTCACCACGCCGCCGTGCCATGACTGCCCTGCGCCCAGTGGCTTGGGAAGCGTGGGTCGCGGAAGCGAAGGTTTGGTTGCGCCTACATCCGCGCGAGGACCATCGCGGAGTGCCGCGCGAGGAGCGCCAGCGATCTTTTCCCAAGAGGGCGGCGTTTGCGCTGGTCACTGCGGCTGAAAACTTACCTGGACGAGACCTCGGAGCCCAACCTTGCGAACTTTGCGGGCAGTGGACGCATTCCTGGTGCGAGGCTTGTTCGCTGCGGCCGTTCAACGCCGTTTGCACCCAGTGCGACGCCGATCACCTTATCTGTCGACCATGCCAGCGTCTTGGGCGGTCGTGGGAAGCGGCCCGCGCTGCAAATACCACACCGCCCGATTGCATCGAACTCAGCGGCTACCACGACCAGACTGGCAGGTTTGTTCAAGTGGACCCCCCGCTCCGCATCCCACTGGCGGACGTGTCACCAGATGGCACCCTCGACGCCGCCCAGTTGGCCCAGATGGTCGCCGCCGTGTCTCCGGAGCGGACAACGCAGTGAGAGTCTCCCCGACGCAGGGTGTCACCTAGATGTTCACATGGTAACCAACTGCATGTCTCATACCATGAATTCTTCCTTACAAATCCTGTGTGGACGTCGTTTTGCGGAAGCACGACAAGTATAGACATAGTGTCGGGGAGTCTCTGCCATATACAAGGGCTAGTCGCGAGCTGAACGGCCAGAGCGCACGAAAACATGCGCAGTGCCTGCTATGTGTCACCTCGTGCCACTATGTTGCATGTTTCTGTAGGAGAGGCGATTGGAAAATGAGCAGTATAGTGGTTCTTAACTACATCTAGAGCGAAGCACATGTCACCCTCAGAGCGCCTGCGCCAACAGACTGTGCATTTTCCGTGGCTGACCTTTCGGTGCTCACAGTGACATTGCAGAAGTCTCCATACAACTTGGGCCAACTACCACAATATCAACTCAACAGCAATGAAGAATATACTTGCAAGAAGTTTGAACGCGCCCCACAAGCTTTTGCAATATTCATTTCCCACATAAACCTTTACAAGGCAAACCGAGCCTTCTTATGGCTATGCGTGTGCTATTTACCAATTTACAGCCCACTAGCTCGTAGGTCTCCCTCTTTGCCCAGCCATCATGCCAGGGAACCTTGGCATTGTTGAGGATCACTTCTTCAGCGTCACCCATGATGACCAGAGACAGGTGTGCCTCTGTTGGTCCTATGGAAGCAGGACATACCATGACGACCAGCCAGAGCTCATCCATGCAAGATTGCCAAACCAGTCCATAGCAAACAGATACTGGGTTGCCCATGGAGAAACCTCGCAGTTTTGGCGAGTGGTCCAGTGGTCCAGTGGATGGCACGACTGGGTGAGGAACAACAGCCGCAACTTCACAGATGCCTACACCATCCAGATCTGCTTCGGGCGGACGCGCTAGACCCAACCAACTGTGTGTCTCATACCGTGACTTCTTCCTGATAAATTCTGTGTGGACGTCGTTCTGCGGAAGCACAACACTATCCTTGCTGTGTACAAAGACTAGTCGCGAGCAGAACAGCGAGAGTGCGCTAAAACATCTACAGTGCCTGCTGTGTGTCACCTCACGCTACTTTGTCGCGTTTTTCTCTGAGACAGTCAATTACTCAATGACAAGCATAGTGGTTGGATAACTACATCCTTGAAAAGCTGTGTCCTGGAGTGAAGTAAACGTTTTTGCCCGGAAGATACATATCGATGGATGCCTTTCCTCTGACAGGTCACTGCTTCGAGACGCTTCTGGCGTGGCTGCCTCAGCATTTTCTGTGTTCATTCCAGCTCGATTTTTAACCTCGCGCTACTTTGTTGCATGTTTCTGTAGGAGAGGCGATTAGAAAATGAACAGCATAGTGGTTCTTAACTACATGTAGAGCGAAGCACATGTCACCCTCAGAGCGCCTGCACCAACAGACTGTGTATTTTCCGTGGCTGACCTGTCGGTGCTGACAGTGACATTGCAGAAGTCTCCATACAACTTGAGCCAACTACCAAAATATCTACTCAACAGCAGTGACGCATATACTTGGAAGAAGTTTCACGCAACCCACAAGCTTTTGCAATATTCATATCGCACATGAACCTTTACGACGCAAACAGAGCCTTCTTATGGCTATGCATGCGCTATTTACTACTTTGCAGCCCACTAGCTCGTAGGTCTTCCTCTTTGCCCAGCCATCATGCCAGGGAACCTTGGCATTGTTGACGACCACTTCTTCAGCGTCAACCAGGATGACCAGAGGCAGATGATTCACACGTTATTGTTCAGTCTGCAGTGCAGCATGTGGTTTGAAGGCTTCGCAGATCCGTTCATTCGTGACTTTGGTTTCACTTGTCATCAAGTTGCAGTCCCACACCTGCTTTGGCAGCTTCCGCTCCTTCCCCTTAGTGTCGTCTTCAGCTTTCTTTACGCGCGTTGGGGATTAGTGCCTTGGGTGCACACGTGAAACGTGGGGAAGATCCTACACCTGAGACTCAGGTCCATGCTGATGCATGGATACCAATGCAATTGGCAGAAAGCCTTTGACTGGAGTTCCTCTGACAGGTCACTGCTTCGAGACGCTTCTGGCGTGGCTGCCTCTGCATTTTCTGTGTTCATTCCAGCTCGGTTTTTTCCGTGAGATTCCCTGCAGCCGTGCACGCTGCTTCTCCCCTTACCAGCAGCCCAAATGCTCACGACGATGAGCTGGGCTGTCACCGCTTGGCCGCCGATGGGGGTTTGGGAGGCCTGCGCGCTACTTCGTTCATCTCCTCTGACA